AGTTCTTCTACTTCTGTAGAAATAGAGGAATTCGATCCAAATGTTTTTCTAGAACATCCTTGGACAAGGGGATTAACTTTTGTTACAACGAGAGATGTGGCTTCCCTCGGGCCGAAAAAGGAGTACTGGAGGAAAATAGTTAAATCCTTCTCCTTCCGAAGAATGGAAGGATTTTATTCAAATTAGGTGAAGAGCATCCTTAGGCAAAAGGAACTAAATTTTGTAGAAATGGCAGGTATTGCCTCCCTTTTGGCTGAGGGCGGGATCCTGATGGGACAAATTTAGGGAAATTATTTAAACATCTTCTCCTTCTGTGTGAATGGAGAGATTTGAACCAATTTAGTCCAGAACATCCTCGGGCAAGAGGAATTCACATTTGTATCAACAGAGGGTTGGCTCCCCTCGGAGCTAATGGGCCAACAAGGGGTTATCTCTCTGAAAAGTAGTTATGGATATCAACAATATTTGGTTTGGATCATTCTTCGGTGGCTGAGGATTCAAAATTGTACCAATTGAACCTGGGGTCTGGCCCCTCCCCTAAGGACTTTATTTCTAAGCCTGTTGAGTCCAACCCCATAACCACATATACCATTTCTGGGCATAAAGAGATGAATTCAATCATGCAGGCGGCCGGGGTTCGATCCCCGAAGTCGTCGTATGCATGGAATATATATTTAGAGAAAGTGTTTCCCGCCTGCCCACACAACTACAACAACCCAGGTGGAGTATAAAATGGTCTGGGGTGTTGCTGCGGTATATGTGCTGTTTCATTCAAGTGAGGTGGCACTATAAATGATACCGTTGGAAGCAGGGTCCCACTATAAACAGGACACAATACATCTTCAGCACACACGCAGGCATACACACAAAGGGAGATATTAGCCAGGTGGCATAGGACTAGTAGTATGCGCCTAATTAGGCAACTCCTGCGAATTCCTCAATTTTTTTATTGATAAATGTATATGCTAAATGCATTGATTGTATAAATTGTATATATATGTACTGTAAAGCGCTTTAAAGTGGCTTAGGTTAACAATGTATGGCGCTATATCAAATGATGTATATTATTGGCCTCACAACTAGGGACTTTTCTTTGGGGGGGGGGGGGGGGGGGGATTTGGGTTTTTACATTTTATGTTAAAAATTGAATAATGTAGGAAATCAGAAAACGTTCATAACCTCTGCTTAACATTCATGTTATATCTCAAGTTTAAATACTCGGTGGGGATGACACCTAGAGGTTATGTTTTATGTTGAATGACAAACTTTAAATTTCAAGGTTTTATATTCCTACTGTGACCTCCGATTGCCGTACACAATTATAGTTAAAGGTTGTACTCTCTTGCACTTACTTTATTGAGAGTGATAACTAGTGATAACACAAATATATTTCAATCTAAATTCTTTGGACCCACTGTGTTGATAATTTGAGGATGTAAAACCTATGTGATTACGTAGCTGAATGGCGGAATGTGAACGATTTGGATTCATTTCATTTCATTTCAACAGATTTTATTGACTTTATATCTGTCAATTGGATTGGTCATCAGGCTAGGCCTATTTAAGTCCTTTCCAAACTTATTTACAAACATTATATATATTCTGTCATAACAATCCAATTAAACAGTGCAGGGGAGATAACTCCAATTTAGCTTGTGAAATGAACATTTTACAACTTTTAAACTGTTTATGTTTTAGATATTAACAATTAAATAAATCATGTATATTTATTGACAACCCATCCTACATAAAATCCAAGGGATGCAGGCGATTTGGATTCAAGGTGCCCTCTAACTGGCTTTTAACAATTAACAATTTATAACAATTATAACTCTAGCTTTCTTTAGCTGACTTAAACCATTGGGTTGGATACATATTGAAGTGTTAACTTCATTTCAAAAGACTAACTTTCATGGTTTGGGATTTAAAATAGCTACCTTGGATTCTATTTGCATGATAGGCATTATTTTCATAATATTTAAATATCTACACAATAAACATAGAAACAATTGATCAACCATGTTCAACTTGTCATTTCACTGACACCTGTTTGTAAGACTATAGACCAGGTAGACAGATCATCAGTGTCTGGCATCAATAGCATAATATGAAACAATATGGGAAATCTGTAGGTACCCTCAAGCTGATTCTTATACAAAATGTATTGTGCATAATCTGTCAGTAACATATCTACTATACTATGCTTTACCAAATGCCTTTTTTATATTACATATCCCAATCCTAAGATAGCAGCTATGATAGGTGAGTTTCGTAAAGTGTATCAGGTGTAAGGAAAAATGTAGCAAATTGTATATGTACAGTCCAAGAGTTTGTTTGGATTGCTTAACAGCTATGGCCATTTAAGGACGTGCCTCCATGTGTGTTGTGTAAGCGTGCATGCGTGTATGTGTGCAGGAGAAGAGTTATGTTAGTGTACTTGCCTCATTGTAATAGCGCGGATCTGATGCCGACTTTATAGTCACTGAAATACCATACCGAAGGCACCGTTGTATATTATAGAAGTGGCAAATTTCGAGGTGTGGCAACGCTTGCTTTTTTGGCTTTGAGTAAGTGAGTATTTATAGATTATACAGATACATATAACATTTCAAATCCATGTCAATATTGTCACACAACAATTCAACTTTAATATTATACAAAAGATAATTCAACATCATGTGATCACTATGAGAAATGTATATCCCTAGTGAGTAGTTACTGTACAGCGTATGTTACAAATGCGTGTTTATTCACCTAGTCAAGAGTACCGTCAAACTTTTGTCGCGGCGTCAGTCGGTCCATCTGTCCGTCAATTTCTTTAAAATCTCTTCTAGTCCTGAAAGGCTCAATGGAGTTTGACTAAATTAAACAGGTTCATCTATGGACAAAAATCCTATTCCTTAAGTACTTATGGAAGAATATTAACCAAATTTTGTGTCGAGCATCCTTGGGCAAAGAGGACTTAATGTTATATAGTGGAGAACGGAGGACTTTTATTCAAGGTCACAGGGGTCATATATATTTAAAATCTTCTTCCAAATAACCGGAAGGTCCAGGGTGATGGTAGTTGGCCAGAAGCATGCTGGGATGAAGGGATACCATGGGTGTTCAAATGAATAACATTCACCCATATTCAAGGTCGATTGTATTAAACAAATTTGTTAACGACTTTTTCTGAAAACCAAAACGTCTAATATGATGCTATTTGACTAGTAACATGCAGGCATGAAGGGCTATCCAGTTTGTTTAAATGAATGACTTCATCCCTATTGCAGGTCACAAAGGTCAAATATGTCAAACCTTTAATCGACTTACGTAGATAAAAAGATGGTGAGGATGATGATATTTAGTTTAAAGCATGCTGGGATGAAAGGTTTGAAAAACTTGTTCAAAATAATGACCTTGAGTTACATACAAAGTCACAGGGGTCAGATAAACAAAATGCAAAGGATTGTTATATTTGACAAGTTGCATGCTCAGATAAAGAGCTTTCATGATTGTTCATGTAAATGACCTTGACACATTTTCAAGGTCACATCTGGTCAATTGTTTATCAAAAGTCATCTTCTCAATAAACAAAAAGCTATAGTGATGACATTTGGCAATTTGCAATCTGGGATGAAGGGCTTTAAAGTTTGTTCAACATAATGTCATTCTGTGCCTTTAAAGGTCACGAGGTCAAATGTGTGTAAATCTTTTAACAGTTTTTGTTAATGAATTTGAATCAAGACACCGAATTTTTGTTACTTTTTTGTCCATTTTTAAGGTTACTATTGTGAGATTAATACCAGGTGAGCGATGCAGGCCCATTAGGGCGCTTGTTGTGTTTTCTACTTAGAGGACATGGGAGCGACAAAAAATTATCTGCTGCCCCATTGCAGCACCCTGAATCTTTGGAGTGGCCCTGGGTGTTGATAATTCAATTTAAATAATTTATCCTTAGTCGCCCAGAGTTGATTATAGGACAAAACATTTCAAATTCTTTGTTCTAATTTACATAAAATATTTACAAAAACGAGCAAATTATCCTCTCATCACCAGTTATATTTCAAGCTGATTTCAAATATTGGTTTCTGGCACTTGATCGGATAAGATACTTTCTATTTCTTTACACTTCCCATCTGGTGTATGTTAAAAAACGTGACCTGTACAATTTTCTTATGCTAGGCATGGATCTGAATATGTGCTGTTAATTTAGATTGATTACAAATCCTCGAATTGCCCGATATATTTTGAATAATTCTCAATTTCATCAGATCAGGCTTTACCAAAAGTTGTGCATATGTTCCTGTCACAGCCTTGTTATTTAATTGTTTTGGTTTTAAAGGGTTTAACGTCCTATAAGCAGTTTAGTGATTGCCTCCGCATGATCTGATGCCGTCTTTGTAGTGCTATCTCAATGAAATACCATGCTGAAGGCACCCAGCACATTACCTTTAATGCTGAACGTCAAACAGAACCCATTGTTTCCCTGGCCTGGGCAAAGGTTCGCGTTCAACATTAAAGCCAAAAATAAGGCATTGCCAAGTTAGGCGCATGGAAATAAAAACGTAGCTAGCAGTAAATAGAAAAACAAATCCCAAATGTTGCAATGGGTGCAGCCGATTTATTTTGTTCGCGTTTGTGTCCCAAATAAGAGTCCACAAAAGCAAATCCCGAAAATCCGCAGGGGGCTTGCCACATTACTCGCCTCTTACAATACTCTTTTCTCAGTCTCCGACCTACATGGGTTTGGCCGATAAGAATTCTGAGATGATCAACTTATTAGCTGAAACAGTTCAAAATATCTAAAACAAATATGTCAGTGAGGGATACAGGAATGATTGGTGTACTATTATAAGATTTAATATTTCATTGTTAGTCTAATAAAGACAGACCCACTAATGTAGTATATTTACATGTATACAATATTGTACACTATGATGAGAATGTGTACCATTTCAGTATCAATTTACATCAGCACCAGTTAAAACAGTAATTATTGTTTATTTTTTTTACAGACATAACCAAAGAAATGGTAAAACAAAACACAGTGAATAAATTCATTGTCACTCAGGGTTTCCAGGACGCTAAAGAAAAGCTCCTCGAGAACCGGGTAGTCGTTGTGAAGGGCAACACCGGAGATGGTAAGACAGCTACTGTCGTTAAGCTTCTTTATTGGATGTGTGAGGAACAACCAGGCCGACAACCCCTACAGATTCACAATATTGAAGACCTGGATTCAGTGTCTCCAAAATCACAATACATTTGTTTGATTGATGACATATTTGGAACACAATGTGCGAGAGAAAAAGATCTAGGTGAATGGGATAAAAGGGTTAAATCTGTTCTACCGATTCTTTGTGGGAATGCAAACACCGAGGCCAACTTTATCGTAATTACAGTTCGAAATGAGGTCTTTAATTACTTCAAAAATCTTATTTCAGACTCAGTTTTCACCGACTCAAATATTATAGATCTTAGCTGTGATAACTACAAGATTGCAGAAGAACAAATGCAACTCTTAAAGCTTTACACACCTACACAAAATAACTTTACATGGACAGAGACAGAAATGAAAAAGATCGTCGAATGCGCCCCGTGTATTGGATTCCCTCAATGCTGTCGGTTATTCAGAGATATTCCTGCCTTGCAGAAAGACAGAGTGAATTTTTTTCAGATGCCTTTCCAGTTTTTGGAAAATGCGCTGTCAAAGTTAAGAGAATGTACTGCCCTTTTGTTTCTCTTCCTCAATGGGGGTAACATTAAGGAAAAGGGTCTAGATCCTAATGGAGAAAAAGTCAGTAAAATATTGCTTGTGGAATCGTTTGAAGTTGATTTAATGTATGACAAAGATGACAAAAGTATGTGGTCTTACAAGAAAAAAATTGGATTTGTAAAGGATAGTTTAGAAACTTTATTAGGTTTCTTGGTGGTTAAGGAGAAACAATTGTCTGGTGATGTGTACAAATTTTACCATGACTCGATACATGCCACAGTGGCACTTCTGTATGGTAGAAAAAGTCTTATAGGTTACATAAAGTATTCTCCAAAATATTCACTGGGTAATCTAAACACTTCAAAAATGTCTTCAGACAGTATTGTCATATCACCAGAGGAATACACATATATGTATGAACGATTACTCCGAGAGTTGGAATGTATAGAGAGGTATGATGTTACTATTGGCTCTCTAGATGTATGGCATGATGGTGAGTTTCTGAATGGATTCGTCAGATGGCTGAGTGATAAAAATGTTGATAAACTTGGTGTGTTGAATAACGCATGTTCTTCTGGTGCAGAAAAATGTGCTTTACATCTTCTTTCTAGTGGTGTAAAACCTGACATGGACACTCCTTTGTTGTCATTGATTAAGAGACGTTGCTATCATGATGGAGAATATGTGGATGTACTTAAGAAAGTTGTTGTATACTTAAATGATGAGATGAAACTTGACTTGCTAAACAAAGCATGTTGCTCTGGTCCAGAAGTATGTGCTAAATATCTTCTATCTGAGGATGTAGAATGTGACAAGAACACACCATTTTTTGTAGTGAAGCACGGAAGCGTAAATGTTCTTGCAACGATTGTCAGTGATTTGAACGATAAGACAAAACTTGCCGTATTAAATGTGTTTTGTTATACTGGTTCAGAAGAATGTGTTTCAGATATCATATCTAGAGGTGTAAAACCTGACTTGGACACGGCGAGATGTGTGTGGATGGGAGGAAGTGAGAATGTGATGGATAAAATATGGGAGTATTTATACACCAAAACAGAGACATACACATCACAGTCATCACGCGATGATGGCAATGTCCTACATTTGGCGTGCCGGTCTGAAATAGAAGAGTTTGTGACAGGGATTTGTGAAAAGTATCCAAAATTGATACAAGATGGTAATGAGTCAGGACAAACCCCGCTTCATGTTGCGGCGCAGACGGGGAACTGTGGTATATTTCACATAGTGGAAAGATTTCTACTTAAATCCTTATGTAGAGATGAAGATGAACAACATAAGTGTGAGTTAGAAGAAGGTAGTGTGGTACATAGGAGTTGTGCGTGTGCTCAGTACATGAATCAGTTAGTGGACATGTTTGGGAAAACTGTGTTACATGTTAGTTGTGAGGAAGGACACATGGAGATTTGTAAATATTTGTGGAAGTCGTACCCGTCACTTACCAGAGTAGTAAATAAGATCGGTTGGACAGTGTTACATGTGAGTTGTGAGAAAGGACACCTGGAGATTTGTAAATATTTGTGCGAGTCGTACCCAGCACTAACCACAGCTGTAGATAAGAGAGGTTGGACAGTGTTACATATGAGTTGTGCGACGGGATACATGGAGATTTGTAAATATTTGTGCGAGTCGTACCCATCATTAACCACAGTTGTAAATAAGTACGAGAGAACAGTGTTACATGCGAGTTGTTTGTTTGGACACATGGAGATTTGTAAATATTTGTGCGAGTCGTACCCAGCACTAACCATAGCTGTAGATAAGAGAGGTGGGACAGTGTTACATATGAGTTGTGTGACGGGATACATGGAGATTTGTAAATATTTGTGCGAATCATACCCATCATTAATCACAGATGTAGATAAGAACGGTATGACAGTGTTGCATGCCATGGCGATTTGTAAATATTTGTGCGAGTCGTACCCAGCACTAACCACAGTTGTAGATAAGAACGGTATGGCAGTGTTGCATGCAAGTTGTGCAATGGGACACACGGAGATTTGTAAATATTTGTGCGAGTCGTACCCATCATTAACCACAGCTGTAGATAAGAACGGTGGGACAGTGTTACATGTGAGTTGTGAGAAAGGACACATGGAGATTTGTAAATATTTGTGCGAGACGTACCCAGCACTAACCACAGTTGAAGGGAAGAATGGTAAGACAGTGTTTCATGCAAGTTGTGAGATGGGACAAATGGAGATTTGTAAATCTTTGTGCGAGTCATACCCAGCACTAATCACAGCTGTAGATAAGAACGGTATGACGGTGTTACATGCGAGTTGTTTCTTTGGACACATGGAGATATGTAAATATTTGTGCGAGTCGTACCCATCATTAACCACAGCTGTAGATAAGAACGGTATGACAGTGTTGCATGCAAGTTGTGCGATGGGACACATGGAGATTTGTAAATATTTGTGAGAGTCGTACCCATCCATATGAGTTGTGCGACGGGATACATGGAGATTTGTACATATTTGTGCGAGTCGTACCCAGCACTAACCACTGCTGTAGATAAGAGAGGTGGGACAGTGTTACATGTGAGTTGTTGGTGGGGACGCAGGGACATTTGTAAATATTTGTGCGAGTCGTACCCAGCACTAACCACAGTTGAAGATAAGAACGGTATGACAGTGTTGCATGCAAGTTGTGCAATGGGGCACATGGAGATTTGTAAATATTTGTGCGAGTCGTTCCCAGCACTAACCACAGCTGTAGATAAGAGAGGTTGGACAGTGTTACATATGAGTTGTGCGACGGGATAAATGGAGATTTGTAAATATTTGTGCGAGTCGTACCTAGCACTAACCACAGTTGTAGATAAGAACGGTATGTCAGTGTTGCATGCAAGTTGTGCAATGGGACACACGGAGATTTGTAAATATTTGTGCGAGTCGTACCCAGCACTAACCACTGCTGTAGATAAGAGAGGTGGGACAGTGTTACATGTGAGTTGTTGGTGGGGACGCAGGGACATTTGTAAATATTTGTGCGAGTCGTACCCAGCACTAACCATAGCTGTAGATAAGAGAGGTGGGACAGTGTTACATGTGAGTTGTTGGTGGGGACGCAGGGACATTTGTAAATATTTGTGCGAGTCGTACCCAGCACTAACCGCAGTTGTAGATAAGAACGGTATGACAGTGTTGCATGCCATGGCGATTTGTAAATATTTGTGCGAGTCGTACCCAGCACTAACCATAGCTGTAGATAAGAGAGGTGGGACAGTGTTACATGTGAGTTGTTGGTGGGGACGCAGGGACATTTGTAAATATTTGTGCGAGTCGTACCCAGCACTAACCACTGCTGTAGATATGTACGGGAAAACTGTGTTACATTTGAGTTATGAGATAGGACACATGGATATTTGTAAATATTTATGCGAGTCATACCCAGCAATTTGGTTTGGTTTAATTAGTTAAAGATTCCAAATTTAGTCGCATCTTGCACATACGACACAGCCATTTGTAGCTTCGTAGACATAATGGTTAGGATCCAGTGCGATTTGTGCGAGTCATACCCAGCACTAATCACAGCTGTAGATAAGAACGGTATGACAGTGTTACATGCGAGTTGTTTCTTTGGACACATGGAGATTTGTAAATATTTGTGCGAGTCGTACCCAGCACTAACCACAGTTGTAGATAAGAACGGTATGACAGTGTTGCATGCAAGTTGTGCGACGGGACAAATGGAGATTTGTAAATATTTGTGCGAGTCGTACCCAGCACTAACCACAGCTGTAGATAAGAGAGGTGGGACAGTGTTACATATGAGTTGTGTGACGGGATACATGGAGATTTGTAAATATTTGTGCGAATCATACCCATCATTAATCACAGCTGTAGATAAGAACGGTATGACAGTGTTGCATGCAAGTTGTGCAATGGGACACATGGAGATTTGTAAATATTTGTGCGAGTCGTACCCAGCACTAACCACAGTTGTAGATAAGAACGGTATGACAATGTTGCATGCAAGTTGTGCGACGGGACAAATGGAGATTTGTAAATATTTGTGCGAGTCGTACCCAGCACTAACCACTGCTGTAGATAAGAGAGGTGGGACAGTGTTGCATGTAAGTTGTGAGATGGGACACATGGAGATTTGTAAATATTTGTGCGAGTCGTACCCATCATTAACCACAGCTGTAGATAAGAGAGGTGGGACAGTGTTACATGTGAGTTGTTGGTGGGGACGCAGGGACATTTGTAAATATTTGTGCGAGTCGTACCCAGCACTAACCACTGCTGTAGATATGTACGGGAAAACTGTGTTACATTTGAGTTATGAGATAGGACACATGGATATTTGTAAATATTTATGCGAGTTATACCCAGCAATTTAGTTTGGTTTAATTAGTTAAAGATTCCAAATTTAGTCGCATCTTGCACATACGACACAGCCATTTGTAGCTTCGTAGACATAATGGTTAGGATCCAGTGCGATTTGTGGCAAAGCACCGAGATGATCAAATTGTATAATTGGTTTGTAAATAAACACAAAACAACAACCTTTACCAATAAGTTCAACACCTAGACTTCCTGGACTTTTATGCATCCACGTGTGTGACATGATATACGGAGCGAACAAACGTGAGACTGTTTCAGGTTTGAATCTAAAATCGGTTGTTTTCACACCAGTGTTTACTGGGGCTCTTTTCTTCAAGGTGCGCGTCACGGGATTGGTCATATGTCGAAAACAAAGCGATACTAATAACTGTCCGGGATGAGCCCGGTAGAGACACGTGGATGTTAGTCAATTATATGATGAAAAAAAACCTATAAAACTTGGAGAGTCCCGATGTCAATTACCTGTAGTAAGGGAGGTAACTTTGCTATCTGTAATGAGTCCATGTGGTCAGAAACTTAAGAGTGTTGAGTATCCTGTATTCTGTGAATGAAACTAACAAGAACAGGAACAAATCTCTGTCCTCCTTTTTTCAGAAAAATTAATGTACATTGTTATGGGTTGAAGTAAGCTAAATTGTGATTATGAAGGTATCGGTCACAGTTTTGCGAAATGTCGATATTGCTTTTTCATTCATATTAATGTCACATCAATGTTTACATGGTATCCGATGCTGTGGTCACTAATTATTAGCCGGCTTGGTTGAAGATGACCGATACTGTTATTATACAGGCATGTGTAAAAATGTATTCATGGATCATGTTAATTGGCTGGTTGATATATGGAATGTTGCAGAGTAGTGGCTAAAGGACGAGTTGTCCCCCTTACACTAGTAAGATGGAATAACTGATTGTGCCATGTGAGAAGTTGCAATGGAAATTCAATAACACTGTACATTTCTCTAATTAATAAAATAGCATTATAGAATGCATTAAGTGATTCACAATGCTTCGTGTAGATGGTGTAGTGTTAACGATACTCTGGTTAAGATGAAATGTGCAATTATTCTGAATTATCAAATTCATCTAACTGTAAATATGTTTTTTAGTGATAATGTATGAGTGTTTATTTTGTGGACAGTTTTATGAAACCCTGTATAACTATTGTTGACTCGGTTCATCTGTTAATACGTAAAAGCAATGACATATCAAGTGTCTTGGGATGTCACCTTTACTCATGTCATCAATCATTGTCACCTGTCACCAAAACTTGTCAAACGTGGTCATACATTGTCACATGTCATTATACCTTATCACATCTCATCGCAGCTTGTCAAATATTTCTACACATTGTCACATGTCATCACACCTTGTCACATGTCATCACAACTCGTCAAATGTCATCACGCCTTGCCACCTATCACCAAACCTGGAAACATGTGGTCATACTTTGTCACATATATCCACACCTTGTCACACATGGTTATACATTGTCACATGTAATCACACCTTGTCACATGTAATCACACTTTGTCACATATTATCACACATTGTCACATGTCATCACATCTTGTCACATATCATCACACTTTGTCAGAAAGTATCACATCTTGTAACATATCACCACTCCTTATCACACGTCTTCTTACCCTGTCAAATGACATCACACCATGTCAACACATGCTGTCACACATGGTCATACATTGTCACATGTCATAATAACTTAATATGTAATATGTCATCTAACACACTTTTTCACATGTCATTGCACCTTGTAATAAGTCACATGTCATCATCCCTTTTTACATGTCATTACACCTCGTTACTTGTTCTTACATCTCGTTACATGTCATCATCCCTTTTTACATGTCATAACACCTCGTTACATGTCATTACATCTCGTTACATGTCATTACACCTCGTTACATGTCAGTACACCTCGTTACATGTCAGTACACCTCGTTACATGTCATAACACCTCGTTACATGTCAATACACTTGTCACATGTCAGTACACCTCGTTACATGTCATTACACCTCTTTACATGTCTGTACACCTCGTTACATGTCATAACACCTCGTTACATGTCATTACCCTTGTCACACGTCAGTACCCCTCGTTACATGTCAGTACACCTCTTTACATGTCTGTACACCTCGTTACATGTCATAACACCTTGTTACATGTCATTACACTTGTCACATGTCAGTACACCACGTTACATGTCAGTACACCTCGTTACATGTCATTACACCTCTTTACATGTCTGTACACCTCGTTACATGCCATAACACCTCGTTACATGTCATTACACTTGTCAACTGTCAGTACACCTCGTTACATGTCATAACACCTCGTTACATGTCATTACACTTGTGACATGTCAGTACACCTCGTTACATGTCATAACACCTCGTTACATGTCATTACCCTTGTCACACGTCAGTACCCCTCGTTACATGTCAGTACACCTCTTTACATGTCTGTACACCTCGTTACATGTCATAACCCCTCGTTACATGTCATTACACTTGTCACATGTCAGTACACCTTGTTACATGTCATAACACCTCGTAACATGTCATTACACTTGGCACATGTCAGTACACCTCGTTACATGTCAGTACAACTCGTTACATGTCATAACACCTCGTTACATGTCATTATACTTGTCACATGTCAGTACACCTCGTTACATGTCATAACACCTCGTTACATATCATTACATCTCGTTACATGTCATTACACCTCGTTACATGTCAGTACACCTCTTTACATGTCTGTACACCTCGTTACATGTCATAACACCTCGTTACACGTCATTACACTTGTCACATGTCAGTACACCTCGTTACATGTCATAACACCTCGTAACATGTCATTACACTTGTCACATGTCAGTACACCTCGTTACATGTCATCGCACATTGTCACATGTCATCACACCTTGTCACATAGCATCACACCTTGTCACATGTCATCACACCTTGTCACGTAGCATCAAACATTCTCACATGTAATCACACATTGTCAACATGTCATCACAATCTGTCATATGACATCACTCTTTGAAACATCTTTTTTTCTGTAACATGTTATCACACCTTATCAAATGTCAGTACACATTGTCACATGTCATCAAACATTGTCACATGTCATCACACATTGTCACATGTCATCACACGTCATCACACTTTGTCACATGTTACCACAGCTAGTCACTTGTCATCACATCTTGTCACATGTCATCAGACCTTGGCACCTGTCATCGCAACTTGACACATGTTGTCACACTATGGCACATATAATCACACCTTGCCATATATCATCACAATTTGTCACATACCACATCTTGTCATATATCATCACAATTTCTCACATATCACATCTTGTCACATATCATCACATTTCTCAACATGATAACAGCTTTCTGTAGGTGACATGCTTGAATCCTGATTTATCAAACTTGAATAAAATATATAGATAAGATTGAGTAAGACTGGCAGGTTGTTTTTCCCTCGACGATTTAACTCTCAGTTTCTCACAGGTTTGTCAGGTATCAAATGATATTTCATGGAAAAGTTTGGAAAACATGGATCTTTTGACACAAAGGTATCTGTCTCAGCTCCAAGTGACATTTTTTCAGAGATATGTGTCGTTTCTGATATGAGCTGATGAGACATTCTTTTGAAACCAAACACAAAATTGAAAGAGATTTTCTTCATTCATATTTTATGCATGGGGTCAGGTAGAAAAGTATACTGTCTTTCCGGAATTACAAAAAAAAAGAATTTATTTTTTCTGCCTCAGAGCGGCCCGCCAGATGATGCGCGGTGTATTCGACGCCGAGGTGTTTTCCGTATTTCGCTTTTAGTACAATAACAATTAATGGCGTGAAGTATGGGCTTTAAAATTAATTTTGACATAAACTTCCTCTAACGGAAGTTTATATTTTTAAAGTTCACTCTCCTCGCTAAAAATTGTTGATATAGAATTGGCAGATGTTATATGGCATTATGTATTACTTATTGTATATGTTGATATGTAACCATTCTGGGGATTTCTGATGATAAGTTTGCTTTATCATATACAAAATATTTGTGTATGGATATATTCTATATTTTAACAAATGTTAACATATTTATTATGTTTTGATAATAAATGTTAACATTATTATTATGTATTGACAATTAATGTTAACAAACTTATTATGTAATGACTATAACACAGATATGTGATTATATCTTATCATAATTAAATGTACTTTCCTATGCTAACGGTGTGACCAGATGACTCAGGGACATTGTGATACAGACAGTATATTGTGGAGTTATCTGGTTGTTTGGCATCGTCTTATGTACATTGTATCATTGTTATATATATTACAATGTATGTGATATTGAGTATATCATGAAATTGTTTTTGTAATAAACTTCAAAACCTTATTTCGTTTTCCATTTACATGTATCTTCGTCTTAAATAAGCTAGAGCAACAGTTATGTTTCCAGAGCGTGTTATAATAGCGCAATAGTATACAGTTATAGAATGGGTATGAGGGAAATCGCACATTTATGGTCCCCCGAGGTGAAAAACTATTTCCCGAGGTGGCGAAGCCGTCCAGGGGAATAGTTTTTCGCCAAGGGTGACCATAGAATTGCTATTTCCCGAATTACCCATTCTATAACTGTTTTATTATAACAAAACAAATTATTAAAGGCAATTTAACAAATGAATTTATTTATTCATGTCCTTTTACAATTTCAAGGAGAAAAAAAACAATTGGAAGTACTGTATGCATCGTCGTTGATGATAAGTTAATTTCTAGCATTCAAGAAGTGTTTTTATAGACTGTATCTCATAGTCACCATTGTTTCCTACCATATCTAGATCTAGTCCAATCCACTTTCTTTAAGTTCTGCATAAATCTTGTGTGTCCTAACTGGACACACGTTCACCTCCGCTGAGCTTGCTTGACCCTTCTCGTCGACGCTTCCGGCGTTCCGTTCTGTTAAATAAGTTTGAAGTGAATTTACTGCAGTCGTTATAACAGCTTTTGTATTTAAAATACGTTTAGCGTCCAAAATCTGCTGTAACTCCTCTTTACAACAACAAAACGGCCTTCATCGGTGGCCATTTTCACAGTTGGCATTTGGTTCTGAAAATGTGTCGTCACGAGCGTCATGGAGAAGGCCCCCGCCTACCAATGTTTTCATTGGTTGAAATCATATAAGCTCCGCCTACAAATATTCATGAGGGAGTAGACCTCTCTCTGGCAGGGAGTAGTCCTTTATTGCAGGGCGTAGTCCTAATTTGGGGAGGGAGTAGCTCTCAGATGGAGAGATTTAAGTGATTTAAGGGAAAAAGCAGATTTTATCGTGTTGTTTTTATATAGGGAAAACTTAGTAGAGGTATAATAATATTACATACAGTACTTTGAAGATGATGGTATTTAACAAAAATAGTTTCAGCAATCTCAGAACTTTGCAGGTCAGGCGGGCGGAGATCATATTGCTTTATGTATAACAGTATTGGATAAATGTACGACCAGGTCCAGTTCCGCTACATATGTTCAACTCATTAGGTGTGGCTTTGCTCTCATTAAGATAGTTCGGATATACAATACCACGGGACGACCTTCGAGGAGTCCGTTTATCTGTCTATTCTAGCATTCAACACAACGAGGGATAGCAACAATAAGAAATATCTTCAATTGCATTAGAGATATCGTTAAACAATTGGAGAAATTACTACTTAAGAAACATATATTGAGAAAAAAGCGAAAGCTTCAATTAAAATATATCCACAAAAAGAAACTTCTGGAAAAACAGTGAAATATTCGAATAATGACATCTCTTAACGGCATACCTGGAGAAATAGAGAGGTATTCATTCCGAATAGAAATATCTTTTTGCTGCGTGCTGTTGTGTTTACGTCGTCTGCTGTCAACATCCGGTAAATGTTGGTGACATTTGTGAGGTTATGCGATGGGAAAAAATTAATGCAATACCAAACCGTCTCGTGTCCAGGTCGTGAAACCCAGAGACGTTATATATGCCTCTGTGAAACCCAAACAAGATCTGTAACAGTGTCGGAAAATATTACGTTCTCCCCATGTCCAGTTATCAATATTTGGAGGGCATGTCTATAGCGGAAATCTCACTATAAACATCAACCATAGAAACGTCCCAGGCCTATGGTTTGGACATTGAAAGCGATTAGTTCGTCTTCATCAGTTGGCGGGAAGCAGACTTCGTACGATATGCTTACGCGCATATAGTCCGTGGTTAATTTATATTAATTAATGCAATATTGCACACTCTCAATATTTAAAGTCGTTCATCTATTTTATTTTTTCACGAAGTTGTTGCCAAAACATTAATTTTGAAAATTATTAAATTTGTAAAAAAAGAGGTAATTTTTGAATATTAATGTGTGACTTTTTACATATGGGTCATATCATTACGCCAGCCTTGTCAACAGAATATGTGTATACTATTCAAATCAGGAAATACGTATACTTCTGCCGTTTCTGACTGAGATTGTGGTAGAAACAGATCACACGACTCGTGGTTGTTGAGGATGGTATTTATTTCACTCTCGTTAGTTAATTTTCAAAAGTTACAGAAAGACACTCGCTAAAGCTTTTGAAAATTAACTTACTCGAGTGAAATAAATACCATATTCAACAACCACTCGTTGTGTAACCTCTATATCCATAGAAGTAGAGAAATCTTCTCTTTGAATAAAGATATATCTTAAAGATAAATCCTGTGAGAAATAGAGAAATCTTCAATTCAAATAGAGACATCCCTTATAGAAATATCAATGGAGAAATCTTTAATACATATATATAAATAAACTGAAGATACTCCATTGTGTAGTATCCAATATACATGAAAATGCAACAAATATCTCTAAATGAAAAAGATTAATCTTAAAATGTGATGTATATCAGATATCTTTATAACAGTTAAAAAGAAATATCCTATTTCAGTTAAAATATTTCTACTTCATATAGCGATATATGTTTCCATTAAAAATATAAATTACTTTGAAATAGAGGTATCTTAAGAAATAAAGATATTTAACCCACATCCACACACCGCCACCAATAACAGACTCAGATATTAAAATCTGAAGTGGCGAAATGAGAAAAAAGAACGATAATTTTGTCACATATCGCAATCACACCCTGTCATCACACCTTGTCACATGTCGTTACACCTTTTCACAATCATAACACATGGTCACATAACAAAACACTTTGGCACATGTCATCATACAGTTGTGGGATCGCACAACGTTACACGATGTGCGGTGTGCGCACGATGTGTGAACGGTGTATGAACGATATGTGCACGAAGTGCGAACGATACAAATTTGGAGGATCGTTGCATGCGCATATT